AATTGCTTGAACTCAAGAAGTGGAGGTTACAGTGAGCCAAGATTGCACCACTGCACTCCAGCCTGGGCAACAGAGTGAGACTCTATCTCAAAAAAAGCATTAAAAAATGTACATTCTTGGGCTTTGTTTCATATATGATTCCCACCAGCAGAGAGATCTAAGAATGTGCTTTTTTTTTTTTTTTTTTTTTTTTTTTTTTTTTTTTGAGATGGAGTCTTGCTCTGTTATGAAGCTATAGTGCAGTGGTATGATCTCAGCTCACCACAATCTCTGCCACCTGGGTTCAAGCAATTCTCCTACCTTAGCCTGCTGAGTAGCTGGGCCTATAGGCATGTACCACCATGCCCGGTTAATTTTTGTATTTTTAGTAGAGACAGGGTTTCACCATGTTGGCCAGGATGGTCTCGATCGCCTGACCTCATGATCTACCCACCTTAGCCTCCCAAAGTGCTGGGATTACAGATGGGAGCCACCAAGCCCAGCCAAGAGTGTGTATTTTTATCAAGCCCTCTAGTGACCTTTATGATCAGGCAAACTCAGGTAATAACATTGATTGAAGGGTTGGTGAGTGCATATTTTCCAGGTTTAAATGATATTGGACACAGCAGATGCTCTCACTTTTTTTTTTTTTTTTTTTTTTTTGAGGTAGATTCTTGCTCTGTAGCCCAGGCTGGAGTGCAGTGGCACAATTTTGGCTCACAGCAACCTTCACCTCCCGGGTCCCACTTCAGGTAATTCTCCTACCTCAGCCTCTCAAGTAGCTGGGATTACAGGCATGAGCCACCATGTCCAGCTAATTTTTTTTTGTTGTTGTTGTTTAGTAGAGATGTGGTTTCACCATGTTTGCCAGTCTGGTCTTGAACTTCTGACCTTGTGAGCTGCCCACCTTGGCGTCCCAAAGAGCTGAGATTACAGACGTGAGCCACCGCACCCAGCCTGTTCTCAAATTTTATATGTGCTTAAGAATCACCAGGAAAGCTGTTAAAAATTAGCTATCCAGAGATTTAGACATTTAGCGATTTAGATTCAGAGCTCTGGGAAACACTAAAAAATCTGCAGTTTTAGCCGGTTTCTTTTCTCCAGGGTGACTCATTCAGAGGCACTCATCTTCATCCATTCTGTGCTGCTGTAAAAGGTAATTTATAATGAACAGATTTATTTGGCTAAGGGCTATGGAGGTTAAGAAGTCCAAGTATAGGGGCTACATCTGGTGAGGGCCTTCTTGCTCTGTCGAACAATGGCAGAAAGTATCTTATGGTGACAGAGAGCAGGAAGGGGGCTACATTCATCCTTCAGAAGGAACCCATTCATGTAATAATAAACCCACTCCCACAATAACCACATTAATGCATTAAGGCAGAGTCTTCATGACCTAATCACCTCCTAAAGGTCCCACCTCTCCACATTGTTGTATTAGGGATTAAGTTTCCAACACATGAGCTTTGGGAGATGCATTCAAACCATAGCATTCTGCCCCTGACTACCCAAATTCATGTCCTCACATGCAAAATACATTCATTCCATCCCAATAGCTCTAAAAGTCTTAACTTGTTCAGGACCAGTGCAAAAGCTTAAAATTCAGAGTCCCATCTAAATCAGACATGGGTGAGACTCACGGCACAATTCATCTTGAGGCAAATTTTCCTCCAGCTGTGAGCCTGTGAAATAATAATAAAAATAAAGTGATGTGCTTCCAAAATACAATGGTAAGACAGGTATAGTGTAGATGCTTCCTTTCTTTCTTTTTTTTTTTTTTGAAACAGCATTTCACTCTTGTTGCCCAGGTTGGAGTCCAATGGCATGATCTCGATTCACTGCAACCTCCACCTTCAGGGTTCAAGCAATTCTCCAGCTTCAGGCTCCTGAGTAGCTGAGATTACAGGTGCCTGCCACCACACCTGGCTAATTTTTTGTATTTTTAGTAGAGAGGGGGTTTCACCATGTTGGCCGGGCTGGTCTCGAACTCCTTACGTCAGGGAATCCATCCACTTTGGCCTCCCAAAGTGCTGGGCTTACAAGCATGAGCCCCTATTCTTGGCAGTCATTTTCATTTCAAAAAGGAGAAATAGGCTGAAAGAAGTAACAGGTCCAAAGTAAGTCCAAAACCCAGCAAGGCAGACAAATTAAATCTTAGGATTCCAGAATCATCTTTTATTTCCTGTACTGCTACCTGGACACATTGGGAGGGTTGAGTTCCCAAAGCCTAGGGCAGACCTGTCCCTCTGGAGCTAGCCGTGTAGGGCTACTACACTGCTGTGCCTGCTGGGCTCAGTTTACGCAGAAGCTTTCATGGGTCGTGCCTTCAGCTCTCCCAGACTGGAGTTGCACATTATTAACTCTACAGTTCAGCCAGACACAGTGGCTCATGCCTGTAATACCAGCACTTTGGGAGCCTGAGGTGGTTGGATGACCTGAGGTTAGTAGTTTGATACCAGCCTGGCCAACACGGTGAAACCTCGTCACTACTAAAAATACAAAAATTAGCTGGGTCTGGTGGCACACGCCTATAATCCCAGCTACTCTGGGGGCTGAGGTGGAAGAATCGCTTGAACCCAGGAGGCAGAGATTGCAGTGAGCTGAGATTGCACCACTGCACTCCAACCTATGTGACAGAGGGAGGAGACTCCATCTCAAAAAAAAAAAAAAAAAAAAAAAAAAAGCTAGATTAGGATTATACTTTTGGGGTTTTGAAATGCCATGTCAATAGTCTGGGTATCAGTCTCTCATTTTATTACAAGTGATCATGACTTGTTTCAGAAGGGAAATCATGATAAATCTGATGCTTAAAGACATTTAGCAGCTACTAGTATGTGAAGCACACTGAAGAAATGAAAAAGTAAAGGAGCTGCCAACTGTTGCATTAGCCATGGTATGAGATGCTAAGGACCCCAATTTTATGAAGTCCCACTTAATAAACGGCTTGAATCCAGGAGGCAGAGGTTGCAGTGAGCCACTGCACTCCAGCCTGGTGGCAGAGCAAGACTCTGTCTCAAAAAAACAAAAACAAATAATACTCTGGTTTCTCCTCAGGTCCTATAAATCTTTCACCTTTTACTAAAGATTTCCGTGGAGAGGAACTGTTATGAGTCTTTATACAATCTTTTGAGGCCTTGTGTTTCATGAGGCGAAATAAATAAACAAATAAAAAACTCTGCAGTTGTTGGGTCTCAGAGGGGGCCCCACCCTTGCAGCTCCATCAGGCATTGCCCTGGTGGGGTCTGTGCAGTGGCTCCACCTCTGTGACAGATTTCTGCCTGAGGCTCTGGGCTGTGCAGTGCATGTTTTGAAATCTAGGTGGAGGCTACCATAGCCCCACAGCTCCTATACTCTGCACATATGCTGAGTCAGCACTATGTAGATGCAGCCATGGTTTATAATCCTGTATCTTCTGTAGTGGTGGCTGGACCCCCTTAAGCTATTGAAGTTCTATTCATCCATTCTCATGCTGCTAATAAAGACATACCTGGGACTGGGTAATTTATTTTAAAAAGAGGTTTAACGGATTCACTGTTTAGCATGGCTGAGGAGGCCTGACAATCATGGAAGGCAAAGGAAGACCAAAGGCATGCCTTACATGGTGGCAGGCAAGAAAGTGTGTGCCCGGGAACTGCCCTTTTATAAAACCATCAGATCTCATGGGACATACTCACTATCATGAGAACAGCATGGGAAAAACTAGCTCCCATGATTCATTTACCTTCTACTGGGTCCCGCCCATAACATGGGGGAGATTATGAGAGCTAAGATTCAAGATGAGATCTGGGTGGGAACACAGCCAAACCGTATCACCAGTTTTTCTCCAGGTTCTCTTGTGTAAGTCAGTGGATGCAGATGGCTACTTGTGACAAAGGGCGCCACTGAGGTCCAGACACTGAACACACTGAAGTCCCAGCTCCTGCCTTGCCAGGATACCCCTTCCCACCTGCCAGGACCTCCACTCAGCCACTTCCCTGTTCAGGAGGTGCCCATATATTCAAGAGAGAGTTTTCATAATTTTCTTTTTCTTCTTCTTCTTTTTTTTTTTGAGACACAGCCTTGCTCTGTTGCCCAGGCTGGAGTGCAGTGGCATAATCTTGGCTCACTGCAACCTCCATCTCCCAGGTTCAAGTGATTCTCATGCCTCAGCCTCCTGAGTAGCTAGAATTACAAGTACCTGCCACTGCACCTGGCTAATTTTTTGTATTTTGAGTAGAGACAGGTTTTTGCCATGTTGGCCAGGCTGATCCTGAACTCCCGACCTCAAATGATCCACCTGCCTCAGCCTCCTAAAGTGCTGGGATTACAGGTGTGAGCCACCATGCCTGTCCAAGATTAGACCTAATTTTTAAAGTAATCTGGAGCATAGAAAATGTTTCTGCAATTATTAATCTTTTTTTTTTTTTTTTTTTTTTTTTGAGACAGGGTCTCACTCTGTCACCCAAGCTGGAGTGCCCTGGCATGGTCATGGCTTACTAAAGCCTCAACTTCTTGGGCTCAAGTGATCTTCCTGCCTCAGCCTTCCAAGAGCTGGGGCTACATGCATGCACCACCACGCCCAGCTAATTTTTTAGGTCTTGTAGAGACAGGGGTCTCACTATGTTGCCCCGACTGGTTTTGAACTCTTGGTGTCAAGAGATCCTCCCACTTTGGCTTCCCCAAATGCTGGGGTTACAGGCACTAGCCACCACAGCTGCCCTCACATATTAGGATATACAAAATACCAAAGATCCTTTGAAGGAGCTGAACAAACCAGTAATTTTTAAAGAAAAAAGCAGTGGAAGTGTTTAGTACAACCAAAACCAGGCATCAAAATCAGCAGTTAAACATTGCAGGCTGGACACAGTGGCTCACACCTGTAATCTCCATACTTTGAAAGGCCCAGGCAGGAGATTGCTTGAGCCCTGGGAAGCAGAGGTTGCAGTGAGCCATGACCATGTCGCTGTATGCCTGGAAGACACAGTGAAACCCTGTCTCAAAAATAAATAAATAAACAAACAAATAAATAAACAAACACAGAACCAGTGCTCACTTCGGCAGCACATATACTAAAACTGGCATGACATGAAGAAGAAGAACACGCTCCTTGTGAAAAGATGGTACACAAATTCATGAAGCATTCCATATTTTTAAAAAAATTTCAGGGCCGGGCGCGGTGGCTCAAGCCTGTAATCCCAGCACTTTGGGAGGCCGAGGCGGGTGGATCACGAGGTCAAGAGATCGAGACCATCCTGGTCAACATGGTGAAACCCCGTCTCTACTAAAAATACAAAAACAATAGCTGGGCATGGTGGCGCTTGCCTGTAATCCCAGCTACTCAGGAGGCTGAGGCAGGAGAATTGCTTGAACCCAGGAGGCGGAGGTTGCGGTGAGCCGAGATCGCGCCATTGCACTCCAGCCTGGGTAACAAGAGCGAAACTCCCGTCTCAAAAAAAAAAAAAAAAAAAAAAAAAAAATTTCAGAACCAAGAAAATAAATGAATCAAAAGAAAGGGAATGCCGGGCGCGGTGGCTCACGCCTGTAATCCCAGCACTTTGGGAGGCTGAGGCAGGTGGATCACGAGGTCAAGAATCGAGACCATCCTGGTCAACATGGTGAAACCCCGTCTCTACTAAAAATACAAAAAATTAGCTGGGCTTGGTGGCGTGTGCCTGTAATCCCAGCTACTCAGGAGGCTGAGGCAGGAGAATTGCCTGAACCCAGGAGGCGGAGGTTGTGGTGAGCCGAGATTGCGCCATTGCACTCCAGTCTGGGTAACAAGAGCAAAACTCCATCTCAAGAAAAAAAAAAAAAAAGAAAAAAAAAGAAAGGGAAGACCCTGGTGATTCCTTTGATATTAGAAAAAATTGGCCAGGCACAGTGGCTTATGCCTGTAATCTCAGTACTTTGGGAGGCTGAAGTGGGTGGATCACCTGAGGTCAGGTGTTGAAACCAGCCTGATTAACATGGTGAAACCCCGTATCTACTACAAGTACAAGAATTAGGTCGGGAGTGGCGGCTCATGCCTGTAATCCCAGCACTTTCGGAGGCCAAGGCAGGCAGATCACTTGAGATTAGGAGTTAGAGACCAGCCCGGCCCACAGGGTGAAACCCTGTCTCTACTGAAAATACAGTTAGCCGGGTATGGTGGTGGGCACCTGTAATCCAGCCACTTGGGAGAGTGAAGCAGGGAGAATCACTTGAAATGGGGAAGTGGAGCCTGCACTGAGCTGAGATCGGAACCAATGCACTCCAGCCTGGGAGACAGAGTGAGAGTCCATCTCAAAAAGATTAAAAAAAAAGTGCAAACATTAGCCAGGCGTGGTGGTACATGCCTGTAATCCCAGCTACTTGGGAAGCTGAGGCAGGAGAATCACTTGAACCCGGAGGTGGAGGTTGCAGTGAGCTGAGCTCATGCCACTGCACTCCAGCCTGTGTGACAGAGTGAGACTCCATATAAAACAAATAATAATAATAATAAAATAAATAATTTTCATTGCAAATCTGAGTTTGGCAAGAAGAGTGACGTGTGGCCTGGTGACTGGCACACACATTTTAAAGTTCACAGCGTGCTGTCTCAGAAACTGTTTTAGCCAAAATTGTGTCATCATCTCTGGCCACTCACTTTATTCAAAAGACTTGACTCAAAATGACCATTTATGGAAATCAGCTTCAATTCTAGCCTCAAAAACAAAAACATTGTAGTTCTAAAGCTATTCAAATAAAAGTTACTTTTGCCGAGAAGGGGGTCTCAGTATATTGCCCAGGCGGGTCTTAAACACCTACCCTCATGTGATTCCTCCGCTTCAGCCTTCCGAAGTGCTGAGATTACAGGCATGAATCACCATGCCCAGCCTCATTTTTTTTTTTTTTTAAATTAGCTCAGTTTCAATTTCCTATTATAGAAATACCATCAAATAGAAAATGTCAATGTTAAGTAGGATTTCCATGAAAAGGTGGCAAATCACAAAATCTCTCTTCCTTGATGCTTATTCATAGTTTTTTTTTTTTTTTTTTTTTTTTTTTTTTTTTTTTTTTCTGTGGTAGAGCCTCACTCTGTTGTTCAGGCTGGAGTGTAATGGCACAATCTTGGCTCACTGCAACCTCTGGCTCACTGAAACCTCCACCTCCCTGGTTCAAGCAGTTCTCCTGCCTCAGCCTCCTGAATAGCTGGGATTACAGGTGCTCACCTCCACACCCAGCTAATTTTTGTATTTTTAGCAGAGATGGGGTTTCACCATGTTGACCAGACGGGTCTCAAACTCCTGCACCCGCCTCAGCCTCCCAAAGCACTGAGATTACAGATGAGAGCCACCGTGACCGGCCCCTTAATACTTATTCATTCTAATGACATGTATTGCATGCCTACTATGTGCAATTACTAGATTAGGTTCTGAGAACGAACAAGATGAGACTCCTGCTGTAGGAAGCTTCTGTTCTAATTTGGTATGACTTTGAGAACATGCAGACAAGCAATTCAATAAATAACAAGCTGATTTTTGAGTGTGGTATCTGCTTTGAGAGAACAGGCAGGATGAAGCAATGCAGAGGATGAGTCCCCCTTCACAGGATGAGGGAGAATTTCTCTGCAGAGGTGATGTGTGAGTTGCGGTCTGAAACACGAGAAAAATCCAGCTGTGGCAGGAGGTGTGGGAAGTCCATTTTGGGCATGGAAGAGCATGTGCAATGGCCCTGAAGACGGAAACTGTTTGGCATTTACAGGAACAGAAAAGAAGCCCAGATGCCCAATGCACAATGAGAAAGAGGAAAAGAATAGAGGTGGCAGGCAGGGTCAGACCATGCTAGGACTGATTTGTTATTTAAAGAGACATGGTCTCACTATGTCACCCAGGCTGGAGTGCAGTGGGGCAATCATAGCCCACCGCAGTCTCAACCTCTCGTCTCTCCTGGGTTCAAGGAATTTTGTCATCTCAGCCTCTCAAGTAGCTGGGACTATAGGCACAAACCCCACCAGGCCTGGCTAATTTCTTTTCACTGTTATTAGAGATGGGAGTCTTGCCGTGTTGCCTAGGTGGGTCTCAAACTCCAGGACTCAAGTGATCCTCCCATCCTGACCTCAAAAAGCACTGGAATTACAGGTTTCTACACTACATCTGGCCAAGATTAGTGATTTAAAAATGCTTTAAATTTTTGTGGGTATATAGTAGGTATATATATTTATGGGGTACATAAGATGTTCTGATACAGTCATGCAATGTGTAATAATCACATCAGGGTAAATGGAATACTCCTCACCTTAAGCATTTATCCTTTGTTTTACAAACAATTGAATTACACTCTTTTCCTTTCTTCTTCCTCCTCCTCCTCCTCCTTCTCCTTCTTCTCTTCTTCTTCTTCTCCCCCCCCGCCCCCACTTTTTTTTTTTTTGAGATAGAATGTAACTCTGTCTCCTGGGCTGGAGTGCAGTGGTGCAATCTCAGCTCACTGCAACATCCACCCCCCGCCCCACTTGTTTAAGTGATTCTCCAGCCTCCGTCTCCTGAGTAGCTGGGACTACAGGCATGTGCCATCAAGCCCTGCTAATTTCTGTATTTTTAGTAGAGACAGTGTTTCACCATGTTGGTCAGGCTGGTCTTGAACTCCTGACCTCAGGTGATCATCCTGGATTGGCCTCCCAAAGTGCTGGGATTACAGGCACAAGCCACCATGCCTAGCCTCTTTTAGCAATTTTAAAATATACAATAAATTATTGCTTACCATTGTCACTCTGTTGTACTACCAAGTACTACATCTTATTCATTCTAACTGTATTTCTGTGCCCATTCATTATTCCTGTGCACCCCCTCCAGCCCACTACCCTCCTCAGCCTTTGGTAACCATCATTCTACTCTCTATTTCCATAAACTCAATTGTTTTAATTTTCAGCACCCATAAATGACTGGGAGCATGCAAAATTTGTCTTTCTGTATCTGGCTAATTTTAGTTAAAATGATGATCTCCAGTTCTACCCATGCTATTGCAAATAACAGAATTCTATTCTTTTTCATGGCTGTATAATATTCTATTGTGTATATGCACCACATTTTCTTTGTCCATTCACCTGTTAATGGACACTTAGATTGCTTCCAAATCTTGGCTATTGTGAATAGTGTTGTAATAAATATAGAAATGTAGATATCTCTTTGATATACTGATTTGCTTTCTTTTGGGTATATACCCAGCTGTAGAAATACTGTGTCATAAAGTAGCTCTCTTTTTAGTTTTTTGAGACCCTTCAAACCATTCTCTATAGTGATTGCACTAATTTACATCCCCACTAACAGTGTACCAGTGTTTCCTTTTCTCTACATCCTCATTAGCATTAGTTATTGCCTGACTTTTGGATATAAGCCATTTTAACTGGGGTGGGATGATAGCTCATTGCAGTTTTAATTTGCATTTCTCTGATGATCAGTGATGTTGAGCAACTTTTCATATACTCATTTGCCATTTGTATGTCTTCTTTTGAGAAATGTTCATTCTGATCTATTGTCTCTTTAAATCAGATTATTAGAGTTTTTTTCTATTGATTTTGTTTCCCCTGAGCTCCTTATATACTCAAGGGTTATTAATCCCTTGTCAGATGGTTTCGGGATTGGGTTTTGTCTTTATTTTACACTCAATTCTAAACCATTCAATGCTGTCAAGTGGAGAAGTAACCTAATATTTATATTGGAAGATGACTTTGTGTATTTGCTGCCTATTGCTGTATAACATACCAGCCAGGCATGGTGGCTCATGCCTGTAATCCCAGCACTTTGGGAGGCCAAGGCAGGCAGATCACGAGGTCAGGAGTTAGAAACCAGCCTGGCCATCACGATGAAACCTCATCAGTGTGAAATCAGAAACTATTCCCCAAATCATATCAATGTTGAATAACAGGTTTGGTCAGGAAATAGTTACTGCATTTGGTTTTGTAATATTGGGGCTCAGGGGTTCAGGGTGCCCTCAGCTCCCCTGAGAGGATGTTTCTGTATGTTCTTGATCTCCTGCCCTCACAAGAATGAGAGAGGGGACCACAGTAAATGCTGGATTCAAAGTGTTTGTAGAAAGTGATTTATTTAAAAAGAGAGAAAAACAGAAGGAGAGAGAAACTGCTAACTCTCACGCTGAGTGAGAGAATCCAGAAAGATGGAATCCAGGAGAGGAAAG